TGATTCGAAGTTGTCCGTTAGCATATCCTCGTCTTCTTCTGGACTTGGTGTGTACTCCTTCGATTCATTTGGTTGTGTTTCAGAGAAGAGTCTCCTACTAACTGGGGGTTTGTCCTCAGGTTGATTATTTGGTGTAGGTTTGTTAGTGCTTGATTCTCCTTGGTTTTTGATCGAAGATGCTCCTTTATCTGCCATAGCTTCCCTTTCAGCCTTTCGAATTCTCTGTTGCCTTCGCCATTGTGATCTTGACATAAGGTTTCTTCCTTTGTAGTTTTCTAACCTCACTTCTTCCCTATTCGCCATATTGAACTGCCTTCTATATGTCATGGTGTGGCGTGCGTTTCGTTCATTGTTTCTCCATTTGTCTTTGCCCTTATCAGTTCTGACTTGCAGCCATTTGTCTGTTGGTATTTCAGCAAGAATTTTGAACGTTACCCTTCGAGCGCCTTTGGGATGAGGACTATCAGGCCTTCGTTGAGTGTAGTTGCTCTCGAAACGTTGGCTCATTTGACCAGTCTCTTTGTGGTTCCAGCATGGGGCGAAAAGGATTGTTTCGAAGGCTCCGGCCATATTTTGATCGTACACTGCAGAACACCTTGGGCATACTAGGCATTTGGTTGCCCCTTTGTGACAGCGAACCAAAAACTCCAACAAACTTTCTCCAGCTTTAGGGTAACATCTGAATAACTGGTTATCCTAGCGTCAGTTGATGCCAGTTCGTGCCCTTTGTTTCCTCTCGAAGTCTGCAGCAATTCCCTGGTTGCAGATGATGCTGCATCTAGGGCATAATATCATTTCGGCATCTCCTTTGTGGCACAACATGAGGTAGTCTTTAAGACTGGCATCCCTAGCATAACTATCCTCCATTTTGTATTTTTCTTTTTCTAAGTATCTTTCCATCTCCTCCATTTCAGAACGAGGTTTCTCCATATCCACCATGTTGACATCTACATCCTCCCCCTTTATGTCATCATCTCCCCATCCTGTAGGTTTGACATCTTCGATTTGGATTTTTGAACTTTCTGGGGCAGAATACTTCACCAAGTAGTCAAACTTTCCACTTGGCTCTCCCAAAGTATCCCATTTTCCTTTCTGATGGGAGGTTGGCTTTGTGATCTGGACTTTCTCCAATTTTAGCCTCAGGCCTTCAGTAACCTGTGTCAACTCTTGCTTTTGGTTCTCCTGGCCTTCAGTAGCCTGGATCTCTTTCGAAACAGCCAAAGGTACTGCTTCGATCGAAGCCTCTAGTTGCTTGTGGACATCCTCAGTGACCCCCTTGTTGACTTCGACTAACACACAGTTTTTATTCTCAGTGCTTTTTTCTCCTAATGGAGTGTCATCTTGATCTGCTTCCACCATATTGATTTCTCCAATGCATGCAGGCTCGGAGTAATTGGTGTCTGCAACATCCAAAGGGTCTTCATCTACTTTCATTTTTGGTTTGTCAGCGAATTTCAATCTGCCATCCTTAATTGCATTTTGAATCAGATCCATGAAAAGAAAACATTGTGAGGTTTTGTGGCCTAGGAAACTATGATACTTACAAAATCCTCTTTTCTTTCTTTGATCTAAAGGAGGTATTTTGACATTCGATGGCACAATTAGTTGGCCATCTTTGACGAGAAAATCAAAAATCTCGTCACACTTTGTTACATCGAAAGTATACACCTTCTTTGGGAATTTGTCACTTTTCTCATTTTCAACAATTTCTTTCCCTTTTGTGGGAACTAATAATTTACAAGAATAAGGGGGGGGCTGTTTCAATTCAGCGAGATCAATTTCGACCTCTTCGAATTCAGGGTAATCTCCTGCTTCCTCAGTTCCAACATAGGAGACCCTTTCTTTCTTGTTATTTTTAAAAACTCTGGCCTTCTCGGCTTTTAGTCTTTCGACTTGTCGAACCCTGACTGCTAGTTAGGCCATATCCCTCAAGTGTTGTGTATCTAATTTCTTTCGAACGGAGTAGTCTAGGCCACCAGCAGCCATTTCGACTAACTCATGTTCAGGAACTACTGTGAAACATCTAGATTTCAAGAGTCTGAACCTATTCAGATAATCATCTATGGGTTCAGTAAACTTCCTCTTGACACTGGCTAACTCTTTCAGGCTTATTTTAGATTGTCCCATGTAGAATTGTTCATGAAATAACCTCTCCAACAGAGCCCAAGTATCTATGGATCCAGGAGGCAAAGTGGTGAACCATGTGAAAGCGTTTTTAGTTAGGGAACTTGGGAAATATTTAATCCTAAGGTCTTCATTGTTTGCTATATCTCCTGCTTCGGTTAGATACCTGGCTATGTGTTCGACTGTTGACTCATTGGTGTCTCCAGCGAACTTTGTAAATTTAGGGACTTTATATCCCCTTGGTAAATCAGTGTGCATCACATAATCTATTATGGGAGAAGAATAGTTTGGTCTTCTAATACCTGTATTGAGACCGTTTTGAGCCATAATCCTTTCTATCATGGTGGTTAAATTATTTTCTGCCAAGATGTTGTCATTTCGAATTCTATGAACGACTTCATCAGCATTTTGGTGTCGACCCACCATGACAACTCCTCTAGGTTGTTCTTCTCGAAACGCTGGGACTTCTAGCCTTTCGACCCTTGCCCCTGGTTCTATAATTCCCCTTTGTGGTTCCTCTCGAATCACTGGGGCATCTAACCTTTCGATCCTTGCCGCTGGTTCTATAAATCCCCTTTGTGGTTCTTCTCGAATCACTGGGGCATCTAACCTTTGTGCTCTTGCCCCCAAATTAACCCCCTCTCTGACTGGTCTATAGGGTGGGTCATCAGCAATTTGTTCTATGATAGGTATATTTGCTCGAACCAATGCCTGGTTCTGTCTACGCCTTTCTGGCGGAGCGAAGAAATCTGCTATTCGACTCATGTTATCCGCATTTTCTCTGTTTGTCACAGTTACATTTTGTACTATTGGGGCAAAGATCTCTTGCATAGTTTGTGCTAACACTCCTATCATATTATGGTTACTATCATCCATTAATTGCCTAAAAGCCATCTGATTTTCTGTGGTTAAGATAGGCAATGCACTATAACCTACTGACCCTTGGTTATTTGTCATAAATTAATTAGCCCCAGATCCAGACCCTAATTGTGGTGACGTATTCGATGTCGAAGTGTGCAGACCCGCCATAAAAGATGTTGGCATCCCATAAGAGGGATTTCTGGGTCTATTACCATCGAAACTGGGTGGTCTAGTTGGTGGTGGGGTGGCGAAATGGGTTTGTGTCCCTGATGGTGGGACGAATCCCCCAGGATAACCAGTGGTTCCTGTATTTCCTAGGATCGAACTGTTAGTCGACATGCCACTTGTTCCATTCGTGGCTACACTACTGGTAGAGGATGCAACAGACTGTGCGCTCGAAGGGATCGCATTAGACGTTCCCGTCGAAGCAGACATATTAGTGCCTGTTCCATGTGGGGCATTTTGTTCCCCTTGTTGATTGTTTGGATTAGACATCTTGTTATTACGTTTTCTTCTGGGTAAGGGTTGGTTGCTATTGGTTATTCTACCACTTCTAAGGTTCATATAACAACGAACTTATCACTCAGAAAGAACTTTTACAATGATTATATCCTAACAATCTTTACTTTGTTTTAAATTTCATAACGACCAATGACCGTCCCACCGGGCGTGCCAATTTGTTTACAGTGATTTCTGGTAAACAACCGCTAGTCCTCCAAACTATCAAATAATCTTAATGACTGTTATTTAATCTCTCTGGTAACTTGCAGGATCGACTAGATTGATCCTATGGGGTATTGATCGTTTGGATAAATCTAATTGCAAAATTGATATTCATAGTTATGATTTGTATTTAGAATGTTTTATAGACGTTCAATTCACTTCGATTACCATGTTAAAAGGATCTAATTACATGATCAAGTAAAGAAATACGAAACTGAATTGAATGAATAAAGATTCGATTGCAAAGAAATGTTTAAATGCAGAAATAAGTAAATGACTTTGAATGTAAAGACTTTAATGTAAAAAGCATGAATATAAAAGCATGAAATGTAAAAGAGTTTCTGAAATGTAAAGAATTCGAATAGAAGAAAAGCGTTTAAATGCAAGAAATAAGTAAATGACTTTGAATGTAAAGGTATTTGAATGACATTGACATGAAAATGGAAGATAAACTGGAAAAGATAAAGAGTTTTACTGAATTATAAATGTTTGGTGTTATCATAAGTACATTGTTCGAGCATTCGTTTCCCTATCCATGTGGTATTTTGAATGTTTACTGAATTTTGTACAATAGATATGACACACCCGAAATCCTAACACTAAGACTTCTATTTATACTACTTCGACCATAACGGTCTTGCTTATAAGATTCTGCCACGTTCGGAACATGCAGAGCACTGCTCCTCTTTAGCTTCCACGCGTCTTCGAACGCTCCAGCGCATATATATTTGAATTCCAACATCCCGCTCGCGTTTGAATTTCAAATGCCTTGGCAATCTTCGCTTCGAACTCATTTCACAGACACAGTCTCGTTACCACTTCGAGGCTTCTTTTAAATATATCTTCACAACTGTCACTCGAAGCTCCGAGCTTTGACATGTCCGTTCGAAGAACCGCTTCTACCATTCCGAACGGTAACATTTTGCTTTATTCCAACGAAACATCCATATTGCTTCATTTCGAACTGTATCATCAAAATCTTCCGCCAACAACTACATGTTGTGTATGAAGGAAAAGCTTGTGATTGAATGCATAATTGAATTAACTGAGAAACTACAATTCCCCGGGTTATGATTAAGGGTTTCAATTTGTGTAAAAAAGAAAACTCTTACTTTTTAGACTCAAAGGGGTTTACTAGGGATTAACTTCCTTATATCTTCACTGTTTAGAGAAATAGAACATTGTTTGGGTCATACTTTATCAATGCTCTTCATGAGGTTTGGTTATACTTATCTAGAACTTGCTCCAAAGCTAACAATTTTCATTCTTTTTCATTGTAATAGTATCATTGCTTATACAAACTGATTATGAAATGGTGTTAATATTGCATAGTGTGTTTCTAACAGCACCCAACAACAGATCAGAAACAAAAACAATAAAGCAATCAAGGTAGAGAAGAAAGAGGGTCGTGATGTTATGTCGCCGGCCAGATCGAATCCAATATTTCTGACACTCACCAACATTGATCGCGAAACCATACCTCCCGTGAGCTGTCTTCAATCACCTTTTCATCGCCGTTTTCCAACCCCTCATCACCACCCTTAAGCGATTTTCCATACCCATATCCAAACAATTTTCAAATCAGAACATTAAAACTCCCATGGATCTATAAATATACCCAACAAAGTCTACATAACTAAACTCATAATATTGTACAAAGTTCTATTTGTTTTTGTCCAGGAAGAAGAAGTATATTCAAGCCGCACAATTGTAATCCAAGGAACAGTATCAAAATATATACAAATGGCTAGCATAAAAAAAAGAAAAAAATGCATCGCGATAATTCATTCTCGTCGTCAAAATTAAATGCACATAACTCACCACACCACAGGTCCAGCGACCAACACCACCGCCGATCCAGCAACTCTTTCCGATGAACACAACAACTCAACATACAGCCAGAACCTCCACCGCGTAGAGCATCTCCGACACCTTAAATGCCATGTTTCATCCACTGTTTGGGTGCCCTTTGAAATTGGAAAGAAGTTTTAAAACTGAGCCATAGTATCATTCAAGAAGTGTGGCGCCTCTCTGTTCCTCTTTCACAATGTATATTCATTTTTTAATTAATTTAGTTAATATTTATGATTAGGGTTTTAGTGATTTAGATCTTGGGCCCGGAGTTTTAAAATTGATCATTTTACTTGTTATAACCTTCCCGTTTCTATTTATCACCTTTAATTTTTTTGCCACTTATTTGTTTTAACTTATTTAGTTTCTTTAAATTAACTAGATTTTATTAATCATTTAATTTTATTTAAATACAAAAATATAAAATACTCCAAAAAATATACATTTTCATTTTACTTAGCTTTTTTTATTGATTGACATTATCAACATATATATAAATCAAATCACTTTTAATTGAGTTTATTTAAATATTCTATAAATAATAGGATATCTACTATCGAGTAATTAAATCGGTTGACACATCATCTACCGGTTTATTATTCATAAATCATACATTAGATTTAAATCAAATAAAATTGAATCACAATCAAATATTAAAATTCACGCAATTCACCAAATTAATACATCTGCAAGCGACACGTGGCCAATATTTGGCTATGTGATGAGGAGACTATATCAGACTCGCTCGCTCTACGTCTTAAAAAACAATACTCAAACAAACATCTAATTGTTTTTCATAATAAATTAATTCAACATTAATTTTCGAAAAAGGAATATGAATATATTTAAATCAACTGCGCACTTAGTCTAACAAACTCCGATGTTCACACTCTTAGACTATGTATGCGGAAAATTCAAATATATTTTGCAATCCATAAAAAAACGAAAGACCCTGCAAACTACGAAATGGGACTCTGATTCCTCCTAGGAGGATACGTAGGCATGCGATCAAAAATCGTGGCGAGTTCCGCTAACTAAAATTCAACCCCCCCTCCCCCTGTTGGCTGAAGATTTTGATGACACAGTTCGAAATGAAGCAATATGGATGTTTCGTTGGAATAAAGCAGAATGTTACAGTTCGGAATGGTAGAAGCGGTTCTTCGAGCGGGCATGTCTAAGCACGGAGCTTCGAGTGACAGTTGAAGATATATTTAAAAGAGGCCTCGAAGTGATATCGAGACTGTGTCTGTGAAATGAGTTTGAAGCAAAGATTGCCAAGGCATTTGAAATTCAAACGCGAGCGGGATGTTGGAATTCAAATATATATGCGCTGGAGCATTCGAAGACGCGTGGAAGCTAGAGAGGAGCAGTGCTCTGCATGTTCTGAACGTGGCAGAATCTTATAGGCAAGACCGTTATGGTCGAAGTAGTATAAATAGAAGTCTTAGCGTTAGGATTTCGTGTGTCATATCTATTGTACAAAATTCAGTAAACATTCAAAATACCACATGGCTAGGGAAACGAATGCTCGAACAATGTACGTATGATAACACCAAATATTTATAATTCAGTAAAACTCTTTATCTTTTCTAGTTTATCTTCTATCTTCATGTCAATGTCATTCAAATACCTTTACCTTCAAAGTCATTTACTGATTTCTCTCATTTAAACGCTTTTCTTCTATTTCGAATCCTTTACATTTCAGAAACTCTTTAACATTTCATGCTCTTATATTCATGCTTTTTTCATTAAAGTCTTTACCTTCAAAGTCATTTACTGATTTCTTGCATTTAAACGCTTTTCTTCCATTCGAATCCTTTACATTTCAGAAACTCTTTAACATTTCATGCTCTTATATTCATGTTTTTTTCATTAAAGTCTTTACATTCAAAGTCATTTACTGATTTCTTGCATTTTAACATTTCTTTGTAATCGAATCTTTACTCGTGCAATTCAGTTTCGTATGTCTTTACTTGATCATGTCATTAGATCCTTTTAATATGGTAATCGAAGTGAGTTGAGCGTCTATAAAACATTCTAAATACAAGTCCTAACTATGAATATCAGTTTTACAATTAGAGTTATCCAAACGACCAATACCCCATAGGATCAATCTAGTCGATCCTGCAAGTTACCAGAGAGATTAAATAACAGTCATTAAGATTATTTGATAGTTTAGAGGACTAGCGGTTGTTTACCAGAAATCACTGTAAACAAATTGGCACGCCCAGTGGGACCGTCATTGGTCGTTACGAAATTTAGAACAAAGTAAAGATTGTTGGGACATAATCATTGTAAAAGTGCTTTCTGAGTGATAAGTTCGTTGTTATATGAACCTTAGAAGTGGTAGAATAACCAATAGCAACCAACCCTTACCCAGAAGAAAACGTTTAAACAAGATGTCTAATCCAGACAATCAACAAGGGGAACAAAATATCCCACATGGAACAGGCACTAATATGTCCGCTTCGACGGGAACATCTAATGTGATCCCTTCGAACGCACAGTCTGTTGCATCTTCTACCAGTAGTGTAGCCACGAATGGAACAAGTGGCATGTCGACTAACAGTTCGATCCTAGGAAATACAGGAAAAACTGGTTATCCTGGGGGATTCGTCCCACCATCAGGGACACAAACCCATTTCGCCACCCCACTAACGAGACCACCCGGTTTCGATGGTAACAGACACATAAATCCCTCTTATGGGATGCCAACATCTTTTATGGCGGGTCTGCACACTTCGACATCGAATACGTCACCACAATTAGGGTCTGGGTCTGGGGCAAATCAATTTATGACAAATAACCAAGGGTCAGTAGGTTATAGTGCAATGCCTATCTTAACCACAGAAAATCAGTTGGCCTTTAGGCAGTTAATGGATGATAGTAACCATAATATGATAGGAGTGTTAGCGCAAACTATGCAAGAGATCTTTGCCCCAATAGTATAAAATGTAACTGTGACAAACAGAGAAACGCAGATAAAATGAGTCGAATAGTGGATTTCTTCGCTCCGCCAGAAAGGCGTAGACAGAACCAGGCAGTTGTTCGAGCAAACATGCCTATCATAGAACAAATTGCTAATGACCCACCCTATAGACCAGTCAGAGAGGGGGTTAATTTGGGGGCAAGAGCACAAAGGTTAGAAGCCCCAGTGATTCAAGACCCACAAAGGGAAATTATAGAACCAGGGGAAAGGGTCGAAAGGTTAGAAGTCCCAGGGTTTCGAGAAGAACAACCTAGAGGAGTTGTCATGGTGGGTCAAAATCAAGATGCTGATGCAATCGTTCACAGAATTTGAAACGATAACATCTTGGCAGAAAATAATTTAACCACCATGATAGAGAGAATCATGGCCCAAAATGGCCTCAATACAGGAATTAGAAGGCCAAATTATGCCTCTCCTATATTAGATTACATAATGCATACTGATTTACCAAGGGGATATAAAGTCCCTAAGTTTACAAAGTTTGCTAGAGATACCAATGAATCAACAGTCGAACACATAGCCAGGTATCTAACCGAAGCAGGAGATATAGTAAATAATGAAGACCTTAGGATCAAATATTTCCCAAGTTCCCTAACTAAGAACGCTTTCACATGGTTCACCACTTTGCCTCCTGGGTCCATAGATACTTGGGCTCTGTTGGAGAGATTATTCCATGAACAGTTCTACATGGGACAATCTAAAATAAGTCTGAAGGAACTAGCCAGTGTCAAGAGGAAGTTTACTGAACCCATAGATGATTATCTAAATAGGTTCAGACTCTTGAAATCTAGATGCTTCACAGTAGTTCCTGAACATGAGTTAGTCGAAATGGCTGTTGGCGGCCTGGATTACTCTATTCGAAAGAAATTAGATACACAATACTTGAGGGACATGGCTCAATTAGCCGATAGGGTTCGACAAGTCGAAAGGCTAAAAGCCAAAAAGGCCCGAGTTTTTAAAAATAACAAGAAAGAAAGGGTCTCCTATGTTGGAGTTGAGGAAGCAGAAGATTACCCTGAATTTGAAGAGGTCAAAATTGATCTCGCTGAATTGAAACAGGCTCCACCTTACTCTTGTAAATTATTAGTTCCCATAAAAGGGAAAGAAATTGTTGAAAATGAGAAAAGTGACAAATTCCCAAAGAAGGTTTATACTTTCGATGTAACAAAGTGTGACGAGATTTTTGATTTGCTTGTCAAAGATGGCCAACTCATTGTGCCATCGAATGTCAAAATACCTCCTTTAGATCAAAGGAAGAAAAGAGGATTTTGTAAGTATCATAGTTTCCTAGGCCGCAAAACCTCACAGTGTTTTCTTTTCAGGGATCTAATTCAAAATGCAATTAAGGATGGCATACTGAAATTCGCTGACAAACCAAAAATGAAAGTAGATGAAGATCCTTTGGATGTCGCAGACACCAATAACTCTGAGCCTGCATGCATTGGAGAAATCAATATGGTGGAAGCAGATCAAGATGACACTCCATTAGGAGAAAAAAGCACTGAGAATGAAAACTGGGTGGTAGTCGAAGTCAACAAGGGGGTCACTGAGGACGTTCACAAGCAACTAGAGGCTTCGATCAAAGTAGTACCTTTGGCTGTTTCGAAAGAGATCCAGGCTACTGAAGGCCAGGGGAACCAAAAGCAAGAGTTGACACAGGTTACTGAAGGCCTGAGGCTAAAATTGGAGAAAGTCCAGATCACAAAGCCAGCTTCCCCTCAGAAAGAAATATGGGATACTTTAGGAGAGCCCAGTGTAAAGTTTGACTACTTGGTGAAGTATTCTGCCCCGGAAAGTTCAAAAATCCAAATCGAAGATGTAAAACCTACAGGATGAGGAGATGATGACATAAAGGGGGAGGATGTAGATGTCAACATGGTGGATATGGAGAGACCTCGTTCTGAAATGGAGGAGATGGAGAGATACTTAGAAAAAGAAAAGTACAAAATGGAGGATAATTATGCTGGGGATGCCAGTCTTAAAGATTACCTCATGTTGTGCCACAAAGGAGATGCCGAAATGATACTATGCCCTAGATGCAGCATCATCTGCAACCAGAGAATTGCTGCAAACTTCGAGAGGAAACAAAGGGCACGAACTGGCATCAACTGGCGCTAGGATAACCAGTTATTCAGGTGTTACCCTAAAGCTG